CACTCAAGGAAACGGCCTTTGAATTCACGGAGTGTCAACCAATCAGCGTGGGAAATTTTGAAAAGAAGACAGTCTCTTGTCAGTTGCCAATCCACGTATTTTCTGCCCCTGAATCCTTCTTCGATGAGCGGTCACGTCCATTAAATTCGTTCAGTTCGTTGATGCACTCCTCCTTTTTTGCCTTCTATATTTGTAAGTAAACTCAATGATTTTTAGCCTTCTGCTATCGCCGCCGACGATCTTTCATCATGCATTCCTTTTACGGCCTTTGAAATAGCACATTCGATGTCGACTCTGACTAGCTCCTTCGATTTAAACCTCCGTCCATTTGAATAAGCGTATTTTCTGCATGGTCTTTAATTACGCCTCATGTAAGTCGTTGGCCATTGACAATAGCAGTTGGGGTTAGACAATTTATGACACTCACTGATTAAAAGGAGCAGATGTTACCAACGGAGGCGACATCAGGCATAAAACAAGCCTGCTGTTACATCCTAATTTCTCAAGTGTACATGTAAAACATCTAATGAAGAATAGGAAAAAGAAGAAACGGATTGTTCAATGAGTAGCAGAAGTAGTTCCCAGACGTTTCGTATGAATTACTACGCTTGCTTCTGAAGACGGATAGTAGCCGGCCAAGACTGTTAGGTTGCTGGTCAGTTTAACTCGAGACTACCAAACATAATATGCCTGCATTAATTTCAGCCTATGCGCGTTCTGGTGAGAACTCATGCTTCATTTTACTTGAATTGTCGCAAAGTAACTTTTGCAGCAAATTCTCTTGCATCTAGGCGATACCTGTTATCCATGTCGTTCATAAATTAAAGAAGTTGAGCTACGATTTCACGTCCCTAATCGAATGTTAATCTATCTCGCAACTAAGTTTAGATACAGGGAATCGCTCGACCGGGCAGAGAATATGCGTACGTGGTGTTCCTAACACTGGACAAACTTTTCACTGCGGCCTGTCTCTTCCACCAACTAGCAGTCTGGACACTTCGGTAAACATTTCGGTATTGTGCTTTCGTTTACCTTCTTCTCGCAAATCTATTTCTCAAATCACATTTACCACGAGATGAGGCGTCATTACTTTTCAAAATTCATCATTATAAGATGGCAAATAATAGACAGTTAATTAGTACCTCCGATTTATTTGCGCAGAAGTCAGAATTTAGTGGTGCAGATAGCAAGGTTACACAAACCACCACGAGACCTGTGTATAGCAAGTTAGACTCAGAGTATAAATCGAAAAGGGGGTCGATCGGTTCGTCTGCAATAGGCCGTTGGAAATGTTTCTGAGTCGGTGACGGGATGTGTGAGATATCCGAGTTTCCAAATTTTAGGGACAGGTCGCCTGCCATTCCCCATTAGATAAATTTTGAGTTTCATCAATTAGGGCGTTTGGAGGAAATACTTAGGCGCACACAGGATCGCGTTGCGTAGGTAGGTTATTATCGCATTCATTGTAGTTGATATGCACTGCTGTACAGACATCTGATGAGCCAATTACATACTACTGATAGCCCTCAATTAACCAAAGAGTTGCTTCTGTGGTCAATGTCTACCAACTGGACAAGAACAAGGATAATAATCATTTTGTGGTATATTTTGCCGGTTCCATTCACCTCATTCAGCCAAAGTGGCCTTTCCTTCGAGAACGAATGAAGAGTCAGTTGCGCATCTGTCGGATATTGCGTTAAGAAAATCGGATGTTTTCGTTTGAGGATTGAGTACACGCAGTAATGCTCATCATATACTTGATACTTTGACAGTCATTGCTGACGGCTAGGCTAAGCAGGAACGGTGACTTGTGCGTAAATTATTTTATGGTGATAGTAGATTTGCACAGCATCTACTGAACTCTCTTACCCTCCCCTACCTGGACCGGGTGTCAGGACCGAGTCAAGAAGACTGGAGGCGGGGGGGGACGCTGGAGGATGGCACGGTTGGGCCTGCACCTTGGCACTCCACTTCACACCCCTGGTCCACACAGCAAATGACGAGGTTTGTAACCAACGACAACCATGGGGGAGGGCAGGGATTCTAGGCTGCTCGACGTCTGCCGGCAGTTTGGTCTGCTACTGCACTCCGAATTGTTAACATTTATTATGGTGCGCAAATCCGATAACGCCTACCAAGATCCGATATGCCACGTCTTGGTCCAGCGCATCTATCACGTGATCCGTTTGTGGGGCCAAATATACTTAATAAACATTCTATGAATGTCTGAGGTAAAATCTTCAACCCGGGAGCTTGTACTGATGAAACTTGTAGGAACTGACATCACCAAAATTATCAGTTTGGGAAAAGAAATTATTGTGCGTGTATCTAAAAAGATGTACGTTCCGAATACATTACCATGTAGGAGAAGAGGGACTATTTTGCGGGCATTTAATATCGTCAGCTGATTTCGTACGTGAGAATATCTTTTCAATATTACCACATCATCATTGAGTACGGTTGCAGATTTTACGTGCGTAAGGTTCCTTTTTCGAGTGAAAATCAGTCATGAGACCTTCGCATTTCAAAACGAACGCATTAGACTTCGGTTGGTATATCGAAAATTTGGAGCTTCAAGGCAGGTGACAGCAAGTAGCGATTGCATTTTCAGTGTTTCAAAGTACGTCTCTGTCGACCTTGAGTTCCCTTGGTACATTATATGGAGTTTAAGTTGAACACAGACCGGCGACAACACAGACCGGTGACCGGAGACCGGGACATCTACTGTCGCGGCAAGAAACGCCTGGAGTTCTTTGTCACATCTGGTGCAGTTGCCAGGGGAGAAGAAATCATCGGGGAAGATGGAATAGTGCTCCGGACGCCATTGGTCAAACATGCGACGGCGGTGCGGAGAAATCGCACTATCTCCGAAGTCGCAGGTAATTCGACGGAACCCGGCTATGTATTCGAGTTTGACGAGATCAAAATTCTAGCGAGAGGTGACCGTCTCGTGAGTCGCGAGCTGCTTAACTCATGCTTCACTGGCCCCCAGTCTAATGACAAGCGCAATGACCTGCTCCGTCCATAATCAGTGCTGTAATAAAGTGTGGGGACAATTGTTAG